CTCTCTGCTCCTATGATGCTGCTTGGCCTGCTGTGTTCATCCAGCCCTGCACCTTGTTGTCTCGGATTCTCCAGCATCTGCAGTTCCTACTATCTCTAGTGCAGAAAGGAATTGAGGGATATAGATTCACAAGTCAATAAAATTAGCAATGAAGGTTAATGAAACCTTAATAAATATAAATGAACACTCAGTTAATTTTTGAAAGAAGAGAATTCAAAAAGCAGATTGGTTACATTAAACATGCATGTAACCTGTATATATAACTTGCTACATCATACTTGAGAACTATGCACAGCTCTAAATTCCATATTACAAATGAAATGTAGAGCCACTGAAGAAGGTGTAATAACCATTTACAGGGGGGATAAAAAACAAAAAAATCCAACAAGCTCTCTTTCTCAAGAAAAGCTGTCTCAGTGGTGACCTAGTAGATGTCCCTAAGTGTATGAAGGAATTTCCACTTGTAGGGGAGTCCAAATTTAGGTGGGCATAAGTTATAAGAAATCTAATAAGGAATTCAGAAGAAACTTTGATTCAGAGTGTAGCATGTGAAACTCATGTTAAATATCATTGGTTCACTTAAGGGAAAGTTATGTTAATAGATGAAAGCAATGGATGGTAATGTTGAAGATGTAAAGGGGAGAACGATGTGAAGCACAAGCAACTCAGGAAACATCAGCAAGACAGACCACCAAAAAATAAAGCCAGAGGGATCCAATACACCCTGATTCTACAGACTCCCCAAGGTACACAAACCGGGGTCCCCCTCAAACCCATTCTCTCACTGCCAGGTACACCAACATATAGACTTGCCAAAAAACTACAACAGAAATTGAAATACTTAATGGACAACACTATCCACTCCATTCACTCATCCCAAGAATTCCTCAACATCATCAAGGACACCAGGATAGAAGAGGATGAGATGATGATATCCTTCGACGTAACAGCATTATTTACATCCATAAACACTGACCTAGCCAAAGAAGCAATTGCCACACTGCTGGACAAATCAAGCAAGCAGGCAACCCAGACACCAACAACATCAATAAGGACACCACCATGAAACTATTAGATCTGTGCCTCACAACCCACTTCACCTTCAACGATAACATAAACAAATCAACAGAACACCAATGGGATCCCCGATATCAGGACTGATTGCAGAAGCAGTAATCCAAAGGTTAGAACCGACAGCGCTCCCACTATACAACCGAAACTTTGGGTCTGATATGTAGATGACACCTTTGTTATTATTAAACACACAAAACTAGAAGAAACCCACCAACACAAACAATGGCCTTACTGGGATTCGCAAAAGAAGAAGAGAACAACAACTGACTACCCTTCCTGGACATAATGGTAGAACGCGAAAACAATGGGGAACTCCAGACTAGCATTTATAGAAAGACTACGCATACGGCTAGATACTCAATTACACTAGCAACCACTCCAACGCCCACAAACAGAGCTGCATCTGGACACTATTTAAATGAGCCACAACATATTGCAGCAACCCGGAACTACACAAAGCAGAACAGGAACACTTGTACGTAGTCTTCAAAAGAAATGGATACTCAAAAAACACAATCCGCCATTACCTCTAAGACAGACCACAACAGGAGGACACAACACAACCAGACTCAGTAATCACTCTACCCTACATCAGGGACATTTCAGAGATGACCACAAGACTACTCAGACCCCTAGGTATCACAGTACCCTACAGACTGACAACCACCCTCCGACAGCTACTGACGGACGTAAAGAATCCCATACCCAAAACCAGCAAAACTGGTGTAATATACAAAATACCATGTAAGGACTGTGAGAAACACTACATAGGCCAAACCAGAAGAAAATTGACAATACGGATACACGAACGTGAACTAGCCACCAAGAGACATGACCGATTCTCACTTGTCTCACTAGTCTCACTACACACGGACGAGGGACATGGGACAACACATCCATAATCGCACAAGCCAAACAGAGACATGCCAGGGAATTCCTGGAGGCCTGGTATTCCATCCGGAACTCCATCAACAAACACATTGAATTAGACGCTGTGTACAAACCACTGAAAAACAGAACCAGAAGTAATACCAACCACCCCAACGAACCGAGGCATATAAATAACAAGTGGGACAGAACACCAACGCTTCACCAGAGGCGCACTGACAATGTTACCTAGCAGGGTGATGAAACATTTGCAACCAAACCCACCAGATCAGCAAGCATGTCTACAACCTCATTATTTCAGTGTTGTAAATAAAATGTAAAATTCTACATAATATATACTGGACTCTGAATCAAGAAACCTAAGTAATATTCCAGACACCTGTGTTCGAATTCTGCCATGGCAAATGGCGGAATTTGAATTCAATAAAAACCTGGAATTAGGAGTCTAATGATGATCATGAATCTATTGTTGGTTTTCAGAGAAACCCATCCAGTTCACTAATGCCTTTTAGGGAAGGAAACTGCCATCCTTACCTCCTCTAGTCTACATGACCTCAGAACCACAGCAATGTGGCTGACTCTTAACTGCCCTATGGGCAATTAAGAATGGGCGATAAATGCTAGCTTGGCCAGCGATGCCCTCATTCCATGAACAAATTTAAAAAGAAAACTGAATGTGCAGATAGCAATAAAACACAAATGAATCACTTTTGCAGAAATTTCACAAATTAACAAGGCGTTCAGTAATTCAAAGTGAAATGTAACCTTGGAAACCATATGCAAAAAGTCTTGTATATTATTGATATATTGTTTTCTTAAAAATTAAATTCATGTTTCTTGACTTATAACTCATAGATGAATAATTATTTGGAGTTTAGTACTTACATGTTAACTTGCTGTCCTTTCCCATAAGGGTTAGATCCACACTGGAAAACCAGATCATGAAATGAAAGCTTCTGGGCAGCGGTAGGATTCTTTTTCTCAACAGAAACCCATGGCTTGGAGCTTGTTCTCTCTACGTGCATCGTTATCTGACTGGAAAGTGCGTAAACTGTTTCCACAGACGATCCGAAGATTCTGAAAAAGGCTCCTGACCCCTTCTGAATGTAACGTATCTCGAGAACCTCTGATTTGTTTTTCTTCTGTAATGACTCCAATATGCACGACACTGGATCCAGTTCATAGAACTCAAATTCCTTTTGAAGTGAGTCATAGTCACAGAAGTCGCTGGGCAGCAGTAATTCAGATGTCCTGAGGAAGTCTAAAATGTATCCAAATAAAGATCCATCCCTATCTATGAAGTATTCCCTGGCCCCTGTCTGTTGTATGGTGGGCTCTGATCCTACGAGAATCCTGCTCAGCTTGGAGCTGGGAACCTTGGCAAGAGTATCCGGAAGTGTCTCAAAAATCATTCCTCCAACATTTAACTTTAAAGGCTGTTGTACCTCATCCATTGAACATGCAGAGGATCAGGCAAAGTCAGAAGTTCAAACAGTGAGCAAAATTGATTCCTTTTTTGCCAGGCAACTAAATGTAATGAGACCCTTGATTAATCAGGAATAGGAAAATTAAAATAAGTGCTTACAGATCAAAGAATTTTGTTTTCTTCCCATCAAAGAATTTTGTTTTCTTCAGTGTTGTTTCCATTTGGTTGCCAAGTAGAAGAACACAGAAACAGACACACCCCTGATAAACCAGTTTTGCTCGTGGAGACACAAGATCTTTGAATGTAAGTCCCAACAATGGTTTGCGATCATAATGTTCTGTGCGGATTTCTGGCACTGCTGTTTGCAAGTGTCTTGTTCAATATCTGTTTGTGGGACAAGCAGAGAGCAAATGATACGTCCGCTGTTAAAACGATTAACTGTCGTCAATACTGGAAGTGTCTGCTCATATCAATTGGAAGGTGAACACCTTTGTGATGCTGTGGCCATATCCAGATACTGAGGATCAGAGAAAGAGATGTGATGAAGGGTCTAGGCCCGAAACGTCAGCCTTTCTGCTCCTATGATGCTGCTTGGCCTGCTGTGTTCATCCAGCCCTGCACCTTGTTGTCTCAGAGAAAAGGATGTGCCTGGTTGGCTGTAAAACTTGCACAACATTGATTTTTCTATTAGGGTAATGACACTGCTTATACCAGGAATGGGACAAGTAGAATTAAGCATTTGGGTATGCTGTTCGGACTCTAAATAATGCAAAACCCAGTTATCTCCTGTCAGGAAGTGTATACGATTTGTTATTCTGCTTCACTTTGTTCAAGCTGACCGATTTTATTTAAATCGATATCTATCCCTTAATAATCAACAGATGGCCTTTCCAAATAAGGGCTGAACTTTTTGCTGTAAACAACTCTAATTATTTTTGAGGTTTTATTTCTAAAGAAAAATCAGGGCTAATTTGTGATAAGAACAATTCGATTTGAATGAAGACATTTAAAAAGAAACATGGAAGTTCTCTTACTGAATATCTTAATTGTGTATTAATTTTTATAAATTCTCAAATCTACCGCTATTTGTTAAATTTTAAAATTCCCTACCAGCTCGTGCTAACCTGGCTCATTATTAAATCAAAGGTGGTAGATCACATGTTAAAATAACATTGGACTGAAGAAAAAGAATCACAATGGCTTTTTAAAGTGAAATATTTAGAATAATCCTTCCATTATGAACAGAATCTGGCCTGAAGACCTAAATACACAACCTCTCTCTGCCATTTCTTGAAAATAACAGATTTAAAGCAGCAACACTTGTAAAATAAATTTAAAAATTAACCAAATACTTTCTGTGTACTATAGAATCAGCTGCATCTGAGTAATGACTTGTGCTCTAGTTGACTTCTCTATCATGAGCCTTGATACCATAATACATATGTCTGACTGCCTGTTATTGGGTTGTGGATGAACCAGAGCTAAATCTCAGAATCTTGCTGTTATTTCACCCATGGAGTTGCCCCATGTTGCATACATTACCTCCTGTAGCCTTGCACCCAACTTGTGTTCCACAGAATTCTGCCCTTGACCTCCTTTTCATTCCACTGCCATCACACCTCTCACACAGATGCAGAATGTTCAACCATTTGAATCTATTTGAATTACCATGTTCACGCTTTGTGTTGTGTTCTTCCCTCACTGTATTGTGAAAACTTATTCATTCTTTTGATCAGCTCTCTTAACTCTACTACTATTGTTCAGTTTGTTTCCAATTTAAACAATATGTCTTAGGGCCTTTTATTATGTTGACAGTGCTACATAAATGCCACTTCTTACTTGATTGACAGAATAGGGGATTTGGAAATGACCTGATCACCCCTCGTGAAATCCCCTGGTTTGTTGTAGATTTTAGAGGCAGAATCTTATAGGGCATTGTGCAATGTGAGCTGCCATATATATTTGTGGCAGAATCAAATGAAAGCCTGATGGAGCCTATCTCAAAGTCAGAAGTGTCTCACTTGATCTTTAATGCTTTTCACAAGCAGTATGGCGAGTTTCTCACTAGGCAGCAGTGAGTTGCAAAGTAAGGGGGATTAATACTTGTTAAATACTATGTTAATGATCCTACTTGCCTCAACAGTCTTCAGCTTTTTAACCAAAAAGTGCAAAACAAGTCAGGTGTTGAAAAAAGTTGACGCAGAAATCAGCATGTAACTGATGAATTCAGTTCAACACACCCCTCGTCAACAGGCATTTCTTCAGATATATGTGCCAGGAACATTCGAAGCTGGCACATTCAATCCACCTACTGGTTGCTTCTGCACTTCATTGCAGCATTACAATGATAACTGGTGCAGCAGCAAGGACATTGTGTGCTCATGGACTCGACTAAGTTGCATCTCCAGGCTCTTCACTCACTGTCATAGGGCACACTTGCTCTGATTCATTTGATTGATTCATTATTGTCACATATACCAAGATACTGTGGAAAGTGTTGTTTTGTGTGCAATACAGGAAAATGGTACCTTACAAAAGTGCATCAGTGTGGCAGAACAGAGTGCAGAATATGGTGTTACGGTTGCAGAGAGAGAAAGAGAGATCAACATCAGCATTTGAGAAGTCCATTCAAAAGTCTGATAGGGAGAGGGAAGAAGCTGTTCTTGAATCTATTCATATGTGTATTCAAACTTTTATATCTTCTGTCTGACTGAAGGAAGTATAATTGGGGTGGGAGGGGTCTTTGATTATGTTGGTTGCTTTCCCAAGGCAGTGGGAAGCGTTGATGGAGTCAATGGATGGAAAGCTGATTTGGGTGATGGACTGGACTGTGTTCACAACTCCGTAGTTTGTGGTCTTGTGAAGAGCAATTACCACACCACACTGTGATGCTTTCTATGGTGCTTCTGTAAAAGTTGGTAAGAGTCCTTGTGGACATGTCAAATTTCCTTATTTTCCTGAGGAAGTGGAGACGTTGTTGTGCTTTCTTGACCGCCATGTCGACATGAGTGGACCAGGACAGATTGTTGGTGACCATTACTCCCAGGAACCTGACGCTCTTGACCATCTTCACCTCAGCACCATTGATGCAGACAGGGGCGTGCCCTCCACTCTGCTTTCTGAAGTTAATGACCAGAACCTTCTTTTTATTGATGTTGATGGAGATATCGTTGCCTTTGCACAATGCCACTAAGCACTCAGTCTCTTTTCTGTATTCTGTCTTGTCATTGTTTGAGATCTACAACAGTGGTGTCATCAGCAAACTTGTAAATGGAGTGGGAGTGGAATTGGGCCACACAGTTGAGAGTGTGCAGGGAGTATGGTAGGGCACTGAGTATGCAGCCACATGGGGCACTGGTGTTGAGGGTTATGGTGGAGGAGGTGTTGTCACCTACTCTTACCAACTGCGGTCTATTGGTCAGCAAGTTGAGGACCTAGTTACAGAGAGGGGATCTGAGACCTAGTTCTAAGTTTACAGATGGGTTGGTTTGGAATTATGGTGTTGAAGGTGAAACTGTAGTCAATAATTAGGAGCCAGATGTCGGTGTCCTTGTTATCCAGATGTTCTAGGGATGAATGTAGAGCCAGGCGGATGGCATCTGCTGTGGACCTGTTGCACCAGTAGGCGAATTTCAAAGGATCAAGGCAGGCTGGTAGGCTGGAGTTTATGTGAGCCACAACTAACCTCTTGAAGCACTTCATAATTATTGAGGTCAGAGCTACTGGTGGTGGTAGTCATTGAGGCGTACTGCATCATTTTTCTTTGGCACTGGAACGATGGTGGACTTCTTGAAGTAGGTGGGGGGCTTCAGAGTTGAAGATGTCTATGTATACTCCCACCAGCTGATCCACGCAGGATCTAAGTGCCCAGCCGGACACTCCATCCAGGCCAATCACTTTCCTTAGTTTCACTCTCACGAAGGCTGATCTAACGTCTGTGGCAGCCGCCATAGGTACACAGGTGCCTCTGAGCTTGCTAAAATAGGTCACATCATTTCACTGACCTTCTGTTCAAAGTGAGCGTGGAAGGCGTTGAGCTTGTTGGGTAGGGATGTATTGTTGCCTGTAATTCTGTTTGACTTCACTTTGTAGCTCTTTATGTTGTGAAAGCATTGCCACTTACGACAAGTGTCCATGTGGTTGGTCTGGGTCTCAAGCTTAGTTTGGTATTGCCTCTTGGTGTCTCTGATGACCTTCTGAAGGTTGTACCTAGATTTCCTGTATAGGTCAGAGTCACCAGATTTGAACACTTCAGACCTGGAATTCGGAAGGGAATGGATCTCCCAGTTCATCCATGGTTTCCAGCTGGGGAAAGTTTGGATTAACTTCTTCAGCACGCAGTCATATACACTCTTACTAAGAAGTCTGTAATGGTAGTGGCATACTCATTTAGGTTAGCTACTGAGTTCTTGAATATAGACTAGACCACTGACTCTGAACAGTCCCATGGAAGCCCTTCAGTTTCCTCAGACTAACTCTGTGCTACTTTCTGTGCAGGGTCCTCACACTTCAATTTCTGCTTTTAAGCTCGGAGGAGGAGCACAACATTGTGGTCTGATTTTCCAAAATGCGACAGAAAATGGAGTGGTAGGGACTTTTGATGGTTGAATAAGAATGGTCAAGGATGTTTGGACTTCGGTGAGACAGGAAATATGTTGATGGTATTTTGGTAGCACGCTCTTGAGGTTGGCTTGGTTGAAATCACCAGCTGTGGCGAATAAAGCCTCAGGGTATTCTGTGTCAAGACTATTTGTAGCATTGTGTACTCCGTCAAGTACACTCTTCATTTTACTTCCGCATGGGGTGGGTTTTAGACTGCTGTCAGGATAGCGGAGGGGAACCCGCGCGGCAGCGCGTAGGGACATCACTTTACTGTGAGCGAGCAGTAACTGGATGCTCACAGCATCCCTGCCTTGTGTTGTCACTTAGCACAACACAAAGGCAGCAAGCATGTCATGGTTGTCATAGGCCTCAGTCAAATTAAGAGGGAGCACCTTCACTCAGGGGACAATGAGTGAAAGGCAGCCA